CCACGCGCCTTCACTCCAGCCATTTCGCGTTTTGGCGCAAAACTCTGCAGTTTTTATAACTTCTTATTCTCGCCAATTCTGGACGTTTGGAGCTTTTGTATCACTTTTAGAAGATTCCAGAACACCTGGGCATAACTAACTTTCAGAATTTCAAGGGTTAAGTCAAAGAATTAGAGGAACTCTATAAATAGGAATTAGAAACTTAGAAAAGTAGCTTTTTGTCATTTTTAGTTTTGGTATTCAGTTGTAACCGTTTTAACTTCCAAAGGAAGTTAGAGGGAGAAGAGGGAAGTGACTTTTGTTCTTCTTTGCTAGAGGAATTTGGGGGAAGACAAAGTTATGAAGATGACTCTCTGCTTTTCATCTTATTTTCTTCTTTCTTCTCTTCATTTCATTGTAATGTGTTTCTAACACTTTTTGTTAGGGATTTATGGATCTAGAATTGATATATTGATTTTTTTCTGACTCTGAACTTTGAGTATTTGATTTGATTGAGGGATTAATTATGTGTTTACTTGATCTTTGAATGGAAGTTCAATTGATTAATCAAAAAGTAACCTTCACTAATGGAAATTGGGTTTGTTACTTGGATCTGAATTAATTTCCAAAACTATTTATTTTCTTAGGAATAAGTGGTCTTAGTTTTGCAATCTTTTGGTTCTAATTCGTAATACAATATTGACCTAAATTTGGCCTAAGGAATTAGGGAGATTTGGTTGAATATTAGGACCAATGAATTGAGAAATTAATCTTTAGTTATTGTAAAGAGAAACGGATTGTCAATCAATCAATTGCTTGAATGTTCAGAGGCAGAACTGAATTGATATTGATATTCTAGTGAAATAAATTCCTAACTTTTGTCCATTCATAATTCATTCTAATAGTACAAATTAACAGTCTATTTTTAACAATTTCTCATTTCTTTAATTCTAAAAAATTTACTTTATTTCATATTGAAATCTGTTCAATGAATTGTTTGGTGCAAATGGTTATTATCTTGTGAATTGGTGATTAAAAATAAGATCCTAGAGGACGATACTTGGGACTCAATCTGATTTCCACATTTTATAACTTGCTACAACTACTTGGTACACTTGCTAGTATTGAATTACACCATTTAAGTACTATGATATAGAATGAGTGTATCAAGTTTTTGGCGCCGTTGCCAAGGATCTCAGTTTTTAACATCATTAGTAACTAGAGGATAACTAGATTGTACCATTTATTTTCTGTTTTTAATTCAGTTCTGTTTAATAGTTCAATTTCGTATTAAGTTTTGGTAGTGATTTTACATATATTAGTTGTTGTAATTTTAATTTTTGAATTCTACATTGCTGTTCTGTTTTTAAATAAACAGAGGTTATCTCTTTTAGCTTTTAAACAATATTTTGATTGTAGGTTCTCTGCACTTCATTGCTCTGTGTTCTAATCAAAGCTCAAGTATGTAATGTTTGTGTTTAGTTTTCCTTGTGTTATATGCGTGGAAAGAATAAAGACAAATCTGTTCTTGTATTTGATTCGGACATAGACAAAACTTTGAGAAGGATAAGGAATGATTTAAGAGCAGAGAACTCGGCTAAAAAGAACCAGAATTCGCAGTTTACACCTTCTTCACCAAACTCAGCAGAAAAACAAGTCAATTCTCCAACTTTATTTATAAATTTAGAAGCAAAGATGGCTGAACCAGATAGACAAAGGACTTTAGGAGACTATGGAGTACCTAATATGCATGGATACAACTCTTCAATTGTCAGACCAACCATTCAAGCCAACCATTTTGAGATTAAACCTGCCTTACTTCACTTAGTTCAACAAGATCAATTTTCTGGTTTAATTTCAGATGATCCTAACTTGCATATTTCTAATTTTCTGCAGTTATGTGATACTATAAGGATCAATGGAGTTAGTGAAGATGCAATCAGATTAAGATTGTTTCCATTTTCCTTGAGGGACAAGGAAAAATGTTGGCTCCAAGCCTAACCACAAGGGAGCATAACTACTTGGACAAATCTAGTCAATAAAATTTTCTCTAAATATTTTCCACCTTCTAAGGCTGCAAAGCTAAGAGGAGAGATCACATCCTTCATGCAGCAAGAGGGAAAAACCTTATATGAGGCATGGGAGCGATACAAGGAACTCTTGAGAAGATGTCCACATCATTGCATACCAGAATGGATGCAACTTGAAACTTTTTATAATGGGATGAATCCAGCAACTAGAACCATGATAGATGTAGCTGTAGGAGGTTCTTTGAACACCAAATCACTAGAAGAAGCTCAAGGAATTATAGATATGATGGCTTCTTCCATGCATCAAAGCTGTAGTTTGAGACAATCAATAAGGAGTAATGGCTATGAGGTAAAACTTCTTGAGACTTTTTTGACTCAAAATCAGCTGCAAAATTGATGAATCCATATTTTTACTGATATTTTAGCATAATTCTAGCTCATTTAATAAGGAAAATATATGAAGAAAGCAGAAAAACTCAGAAAAAGAGAATGATTGAAAGTTTTATTTTAATTTGTAGTTATTTTCGCATTTGTAGAATTTATGCTTAGTTCTTAAGGAATTTATCTTGTTTTGAAGGAATAAGCTGAGCAAAAGTCATGGAAATGGAGAATCAATGGGAAGGAAGAGGAAGAATGGCAATGTTGGACTCCAAAATACAAGAATTTTGGGTTGCAGCCTAGGCGTGATCACTATTGTTAGTGAAAGTGATCATTCCAGAGCCTAAAGGAGAAGAAGAGCCTTGCGTAATCACTTTTATTTACAAGAGTGAGCGTTGCCAGTGTGCGTTATCACTTTCGCCAGCGAAAGTGAACGTTCCAGAGAAGACTCTATTCCTGAGGAGCTGCGCGTTGTCACTTTCGCCAGCGAAAGTGAGCATTCCAGAGGCACTTGTATCAGGACAGCTTGCGCGTGGTTACTATTACTCACGAAAGTGATCACGCGCAGCCCTTGACCTCCTGCGTTGCCACTATTCTAAATAAAAGTGAATGTTCCAGAGAAGCCTTCAACTCTGCAAGTTGCGCGTGGTTACTCTTGCTCTTGAAAGTGAACACGTGCACTACATAAAGCTTCTGCGTGGTTACTCTTGTGAAGAAAAGTGACAACGCGCAGAACTGGGTTTTCTATATATACATGATTGAAGCGCGAAAACAGGGATTCTGTTCATTTTTTCAGTTTTGTTAGTTAGTTCTGGTTAGAGGAAGTGAGAGAGAGGAGTGGGGATTCAGATCTTGGAGCTTCACGAAGAGGAATTGGAGTGGAGCAAGCTTCCATGGCGTTTCTGAGTTTCTTCTTTTCTTCTTCTCTTTCTTTTTCTTCTTCTGCTGCCATGGCTGTGTAATTCGTTCATAGTTAGGGATTGTAGATCTGAAATGAACATGTTGAATTGATTTGGATCTGGATTTCAAGCTTTGGAATAGATTGAGTGATTGATTCTAAACTTCACGTGTGAATTGAATGGAAATTTGATTAACTAAATCCAGAGGAACCTTTGTCAATGGAAATTGAATTTGTTCTTCAGATCTGAACCAATCACCGAGATTTTAGTTTTCTTAGGAATAAGAAACTTTAATCTTTCAATCTTTTGGTTTCTTACACTTAAAGCAACATTGAATTGAATTAGATCTAAGGAATTAGAATGGTTTAATTGAATGTTAGGTTCACTGAGTTAAGGAATTAACCTCTGAATAGTATAAAGTGAAACTGATTGTCATTCTTTCCAATTGCTTGTTAATTCAGAACTTTATTGATTAAACATTGGAGTTTTGGTGAAGCAATTCCCTAGCTATGGTTTCTCCCTCTGTTATCACATAACTGTGTGTTCATTGTCTTGTTTTCTGCAAGTTCATTGTCTTGTTTTCTGCAAGTTCATTTTACTTTTAATTGTTCCAGTTTGCTGCTGTTATATGTTACAAATCTCATTCTAAAATTCGTATGGCTCAAATGGTTATAATTCTGTGAAGTGGTAATTGAAACCTAAATTCCCTGTGGAGACGATATTTGGATCTTAAATTTACTCATCACTTGCTGCAATCCTAGTGCACTTGCTAGTATAGATTGACAACAACAAAAATCAATTGTTTTCTGAGCAAATAGCTGCACTCACCCAACAAATCAGCAACTTACAAGCTGCACCAACCCAGAATACTCCACTTGTGTGTGATTTTTGTGGAGGAAATCATGTAAATGGAGCTCGTGATGGAAATAATTCTGAATCTCAAGAACAAGTCAATTATATGGGGAATTTTCAGAGACAACAATCTTCATTTCCTCCTGGTTTTCAATTCTCTAACAATAGAAACCAGCAGCAACATAGCTGGAATAACCAAAATTCTAATTGGAAAAATTCTAACTTTGCTGTTCCATTTTCAAATGCAGGACTAGCAGCTCAATAACCTTATTTCCAAGGGAATCCAGCCAACCAACTTCAAAAAAATCAGAGGTTTTCTAAACCACTGAATGAAAGGCTGAACGAAATGGAAGAAACCATGCTGCAATTCATGAAAGTAACACAAACAAGCTTCAAGAATCAAGAATCTTCTATTAAGAAGTTGGAAACAAAGATTGGACAGTTAGCTGAGCAATTGTCCAACAGAGAAGATGGGAGATTTCCTAGCAACACAGTTATAAATCCAAGAGAAAAATGCCAAGCTGTGATGACTAGGAGTGGAGCTATTGTGGGTAGTCCAAAACCAGCCGAGAAGAGAGAGAAAACCAAGGAAGAGGAGAAGATTAAATCTGAACTAGAGGAAGGGAACTTCACTCTATTAAAAAGAGAAAATTTAGAAATGGATACCTTCCCTAAAACTGTGAGAAGAACAAAGAGGCAAATTTTAGAAGATTCAAACAAGCCTCTAGATGAAGAGAAATACAAGCAACTGCCTTATCCACAAAGAGTCACTAATCCTAAGCAAGAAAGGCAGTATGAGAGATTTCTAGACATCTTTAAGAAGCTCCAAATTAATATACCATTTGCTGAAGCATTAGAACAAATGCCTTCATATGCAAAATTTATGAAGGAGTTGCTGTCCAAGAAGAGAAAGTTAGAAAATGACAAGACAGTCCCTTTGACTGAAGAATGTAGTGCTATTTTGCAGAGAAAGCTGCCTCAAAAATTAAAAGATCCAGGCTCATTCAGCATTCCATGCTCTATTGGAAGTTGCACAATAGGAAAAGCTTTGTGTGATCTTGGGGCAAGCATCAACCTTATGCCTCTTGCCATAATGAAAAGACTTGGAATAGAGGAAGTCAAGCCAACAAGCATCACTCTACAACTTGCGGACAAATCATTTACTTATCCATATGGTATTGTAGAGCATTTATTGGTAAAAATTGACAAGTTTATTTTCCGTGCAGATTTTGTCATTTTAGATATAGAGGTGGATGCCGATATTCCTTTAATATTGGGCAGACCTTTCTTAGCTACATGGAGAGCTTTGATTGATGTGCAGAAAGGGGAATTAATGCTTAGAGTGCAGGATGAAAAGGTTACCTTTAATGTTTTGAAGCACTCAAACATCCTAGTGATGATAGCACTAGTATGAGAGTTGATATTTTAGAATCTATTTCATTTCCTCAATTAATTGATAATGTTGATGAATTTTCTATGTTAAGGGAAATTATAGTTGCAGGAAATTCACAAGCTGTTGTAAAAAGAGAAGAAAAATTCATGGAATATGTGCAGCAACTTGAAACACTGCCTGTTATCCCTTCATCCAAAAATTCAGCAAGAGAGGAGCTAAAAAAAGAAGAGGAAGAAGAGAAAGTGGAGAAACTTGAGTTGAAGCAATTACCGTCTCACTTGAGATACACTTTTCTAGATCAAAGACATCAATATCCAGTGATTATAAGCAATAATCTAAAGGGAAATGAAGAAGAAAAGCTGCTGAGAATTTTAAGGAATCACAAATCTGCAATTGGATGGCACATCTCAGATTTGAAAGGTATTAACCCATCCTTTTGTAGAAATAGAATTTTGTTTGAGGACAACTACAAGCCAGTAGTACAGCCGCAAAGAAGATTGAATCCAGCCATGAAGGAAGTGGTTAGAAAAGAGGTAATGAAGCTATAAGATGCAGGGATAATCTACCCAATTTCGGATAGTCAATGGGTCAGCCCAGTTCAAGTTGTTCCTAAGAAAAGAGGAATAACTGTAGTGACAAATGAAAAGAATGAATTAATACCCATTAGAACTATCACGGGCTGGCGCATGTGCATTGATTATAGAAAGCTTAATGATGCAACAAGGAAGGATCATTTTCCATTACCATTTGCTGATCAAATGTTAGAAAGATTGGCTGGATATGCATTTTATTGCTTCCTTGATGGATATTCAGGCTATAATCAAATAGCGGTGGACCTTATGGATCAAGAGAAGACTGCCTTCACATGTCCATTTGGAGTATTTGCATATAGAAGGATGCCATTTGGATTATGCAATGCTCCAGCCACATTCCAAAGGTGCATGTTGTCCATTTTTTCAGATTTAGTAGAAAAGACCATTGAGGTCTTCATGGATGATTTTTCTGTATTTGGCAATTCTTTTGATGATTGTGTATCTAATTTGTCCATTGTTTTGCAGAGATGTCAAGATACAAACCTTGTGCTGAATTGGGAAAAGAGTAATTTTATGGTCCAAGAGGGAATAGTCCTTGGCCATAGAATTTCTGAAAAAGGAATTGAGGTGGACCAAGTCAAAATTGAAGTCATTAGTAAACTACCTCCACCAATTAATGTTAAAGGAATTAGGAGTTTCTTAGGCCATGCAGGTTTTTATAGGAGGTTTATAAAAGACTTTTCAAAAATAGCAAAACCTCTTAGTGATTTACTTGTCAAGGAAACTGAATTTGTGTTTGATGAATCATGTCTGCATGCATTTTCTGTTTTAAAAGAGAAACTCATTTCTGCACCTATTCTAGCCAAACCTGATTGGAATTTACCATTTGAATTAATGTGTGATGCTAGTGATAGTGCAGTAGGAGCTGTTCTAGGGCAGAGAAAAGACAAGAAATTGCATGTGATCTATTATTCCAGCAAAGTCTTCAATTCTGCACAAGTGAATTATACAACTACTGAAAAGGAACTCCTTGCCATTATGTTTTCCTTTGATAAATTCAGATCATACTTGATAGGATCAAAAGTAATAGTATATACTGACCATTCTACACTTAAATATTTGTTATGAAAGTAGGATGTCAAGCCAAGATTGTTGAGATGGATTCTGCTGCTACAAGAGTTTGAGCTGGAAATTAGAGATAAAAAGGGCAAGGAAAATGGAGTAGCTGATCATTTGTCTAGACTGCCATTCGACAGTTTGAACTCTAATTCTTTGGACATCAATGAAGAATTTCCAGATGAGGAGTTATTTGTGGTGGAAGAATCACCTTGGTTTGCTGATTTAGCAAATTTTAAGGCCACTCAATTGATTCCAGCAAAGTTTAATTGGCAACAAAGAAAAAAATTTCTGCATGACAGCAAATTTTATGTATGGAAAGACCCTTATTTGTTCAAAATAGGGGTAGATGGTCTGCTGAGAAGGTGTATACCACAAGGAGAACAAGCTGAAATTCTTTGGCATTGTCATAACTCAAAATATGGAGGCCACCATGGTAGCTCAAGGACTGCTGCAAAAGTCTTGCAAGTAGAATTTTTCTAGCCAACATTGTTTAAAGATGCCAAGAATAATGTTGAAAGTTGTGACAAGTGTCAAAGGACAGGCAATATCTCTAGAAAGCATGAACTGCCCTTGAACAATATTTTAGAAGTGGAGATGTTTGATGTTTGGGGAATTGATTTCATGGGACCATTTCCCATGTCCTTTTCTCATGAATATATACTTGTGACAGTAGACTATGTGTCTAAATGGGTGGAAGCCATCCCAACAAGGTCCAATGATGCTAAAGTGGTGATATCTTTCATCAAAAGAAACATATTCACTAGATTTGGAGTACCTAGATTCTTACTAAGTGATGGAGGTACTCATTTTTGTAACAAATATCTTGATTCAGTCTTAGCAAAATATGGAGTGAGACACAAGATTGCTACACCATATCATCCACAAACAAGTGGATAAGTGGAAGTTTCAAATCGAGAAATTAAACAAATCTTAGAGAAGGTGGTGAATCAATCAAGAAAGGACTGGTACAAAAAGCTAGATGACTGTCTATGGGCATATAGAACAGCCTTTAAGACTCCAATTGGTATGTCACCTTATCAATTAGTCTATGGAAAGGCATGTCACTTACCTATGGCATTGGAACATAAGGCTTATTGGGCTACAAAGTGGCTGAATTTTGATTTGGCAAAGGCTGGAGAAAAGAGGATTCTGCAGTTACATTAATTGGAAGAATTCAGACAGCAAGCCTATGAAAATGCCAAAATATACAAGGAGAAAACCAAAAGGATTCATGATAAATTCATCTTAAAAAGGGAACTCAGATCTGGACAACAAGTGTTGCTGTTCAATTCAAGACTGAAATTATTTCCAGGGAAACTCATATCAAGGTGGTCTGGACCCTTCCTCATTAAAGAAGTATCACCTCATGGTGCAGTCTTGGTGGCAGATCCTAATACAGGAAGAGAGTTCAAAGGTAATGGTCAAAGGTTGAAAATTTATCATGGAGAGGCAGTCTCAAAGGAAATTTCATGCATTAAAGTGGTTTCTATTGAATGAGAAACATCAAACGCCAAGCTAGTGACGTTAAAAGAGCGCTTGTGAGAGGCAACTCACGTTTCTAAAACCTGAACTCTTATTAATTGAAGTTTAGATGTTGAATTTCTAGTTAATTTTGAGTCATAGTAGTATATTTTGTTGAATTAGGTAGAAATTAATATTTTGAAATTTGATTTTTGATAAGGAAGTGTAGTAAAAATTTATTAGTTTTTTGCTGTGATTCAGGAAAAAATTAGATGGTGAACTTAGCTCAGAATTCCCTACAAAAGCATACTTGAAATGTCACTTTTTACATAGAAAATCAATGAATTTTAAAATAACTATGTTTAAAAGTGACATGCAACATTTTATTAGTTTTTTAAGAGTTTTCTACTATTTCTAGCATGTTTTCTTTATTAATTGCACTAAAAACTATTGTAAAATAGTAGTAAAATATGGATTCATCACTACCCCAAACTTGAATTTTTGCTTGTCCTCAAGCAAATTAGAACATATCAAGGGTGTAAATTCTTATTAATTGGAATCCAAAAACTTTTTACATTTTTCAGAAAAATTCAGATTAAAAATCCATTTTACTTCAATGCATTCTAATTGTTTTCTCACTAAGTCATTCACCAATTCTTCATCATGATAGTCACACTTGACTTATCTGTTTGCTGCACAATCTCATTCATTTCAATTAAGCAAATCATTAAAGCTACATGCAAACAGAGTTGAGAAACATTATCACAGCTCTCAGAAAGTGTTTCTCTAACTCAATTAGTGTTTAAGCTTGTGTTTGCTCTCAGCATCACCAAATTCATCAAACTCTGCCATAAGCTTGCCTATATTCTCAACCTCCTTTGCAAATTTACAATTAATCACATATCAAGAGGACTTTTAGGTGATATTAAGGCTCAAGGACAGGTATGATTTAAATGAATTCAGGATATCAATGCAGCTAATTTCAAACAGAAAAAGATGCAAATTTAGTAGATAAGCTTTTAAACTTAGTAAGGGCTGCATCAACTGTTTCTATTCTTAATCAACTTTCAATCACAGTTTAAATTTTTGCAGAATTATCTACCAATTTCCTTTTCCTTTTTGATTTGCTGATTTCTTTTTATTTCTTTTTCATTTTTCTATTTTTACTTGCAACTTTTTACTTCTTTTTCATATTTTCTCTACATGACTTTTTCTAACTTTCTTAATTCATTTCAATCCTTTTCTCAATCCTTCCTACCCCAAACTTAGAACATTGCTTGTCCTCAAGTAATGCACTAGAAACATGATGTTACCCCAAACTTAGTTTTAAAACTTATCTTTGATTCAACTCAATTTGCCTCTTTTCTATTTGAATAGGTAAAATGGTTTTTCTAGAAAAGCTTGTATTGAGGTTAATCAAAGAAAGGCTATCAGCTCAAAGGGGCTAACTAGGACATTCAAGAATGAAAGGCAGTCTATTTGGCTCACTAGGTAAATCTGAATAATGGCCTCCATCCTTTATGTGATTAGTGCAAAACAGCATATTCAGTTAAGAAACAAAGCAAGTTCTAGAGAGTAAATTAGAATTTGAGATCAGTCACACATCGATGAATGAAAAGGTTCAAGTCTCACCAAGAAAGTAAATGGATAATATTTATCAATTCAGTTCACTATTTACTTCAAAAATTTGCATGAATAAAATGGCAAGACTGCTTTATTTTTTTAAAATACAAGTATGACAATCATGTTAAGAATGGGAAAAACAACTTATGTAATTCAACAATCAAAATTTCAATCAGGTGAAAATCAGGTTTATTTATCAAGAAAACAAAATCTAATGCAGTTTAATATTTTTCTAACTTGTGAAAATTTTATGCAAAATGTAAGTTGTACACATGAAAATAAAGG